CTTTTTTCATCTATTTGATCTCGGTAATACGTAAACCGGTCCCGAACTTTTTCGACATGCTGTATTTAATTTCTCATTTGTACATTTCTCACTGCTATTCTCTCTTCGTTACATAAATTAAATATCGAGGTTTAAGTACTTGATCAAGCAGCCGCGTGATGCAAACGCTGAAGTCTATTAATAAAAGCGGATTGTTTGAAGTGAAACGATCCGAAAGACGGAACGCTCAAGGTAGGAATTGATGCATTCGTTGAGTCGAAACTCAAAGGAAAAACGAGTATCATTCATGTTATTTTATCCAGCACGATGTCCATAAATAAAATTCAATTCTTTTTTAAATTTCTACATCTCCATGTATTTTATAAACATCTCGTAACGTTCATGAACTTTAGCAGACAAATTGATGTGTACATTGACGTTTCATACTTAAATATTGTTTAGACAGAAGATACCTTGTATATCTTGAAATATTTATCGTGCTGGTACGACAAAAACAATAATCGCATCGTAAGAACGAAGGGGAGGAAAAGAGTTGACGTGGCCATTTCCAGTGACAAAGCCACGAATTTTTATAGATTGTATACATTTTGTATATACTCGAGTATAATCCAGTCATAATGGAAAATTTTGATAACTATCTCCGTGGATGTTCATTGTGTTCGGCCTAATTATTCGCTCTTCGCTAAAACGAGAATTTCCGCCCTTTCGAACTCTTTTGTTAACGAGACCGGACGGTGGGGGAGAGTCGGGACAAGTGGAAATCGCTCCAATTGCAATTAACGCGTGTAACTTCGATATGAAATTATCATCGACGCCGTGAATATATACAATAAATAAACAAAAATATGCAGAGAATAAAAAGACTTAAAATATGTACAAAAGATGCAAACACACTGCTAGGAAAGCCAGGGCGATCATTTGCGGAAAGGAGTCGAATGTTACGTGTTTTTGTCATATCGTTCAAAGGTAGATTATTATCAGAAGGGATGGTTCGACCGTTCGAAGTAACAAAGAAGGACGAAAGTGTAATTTGAAATACAAAATACTTATGCGTACAGTGTGTCGTGAAAGTAAGTTGCACACGTTGACGTCATTATAGATAAAAAAGAGTTAATGTGCTTAAACATTTTATACGGTAGGTAAGGAGAATTGTATTAATATTTTTGTAAATTTTGTATCATTTTGAATATTTACAATTTCATGAAATGTTTTATACAATTTCCCATACTTTACTCCCAAACTATAAACGAAATAAAATTCTTCATTTTTTTTAAGGATAAAATCAAAATTTACAAATTACCATATTGTATAAATTTATAAAATTATCCAATACTGCGTATTTTTTTGCAATACTCTCTTGACATTTTCTGACGTAACTGTGTATGATGTACATTGACAGTTTTGATGTATGCACTCTGTTTGAAGATAAGAGCCACGGTCGGAGGTGCTTTTGCGACACAATGTACGGTGATTTGTAGGTATTCGAAACCGCGTCTTTGTAAAAATAAAGAAGGAAAAAATAGTAAAAACGGTAAAAAACAAATTGTGATCTTTCCCGTTTGGATGTTAAGTAGAGCTACAGGTTGTACAGTACGCACACGCACTCACTATTACAATCATCGGAGGATGTAGGTACACTGTGTACATAAAACGTATGTATAACTGATAAGGATATTTTTTGTACGTAGTTAAAAAATCTTGACAAAAAAAAAAATAATGAAAACTGCTCTCTGCCGTATATATATAGGTATATATTTATATGTACATGTATATGTATATCTGACTGTAATTCGTTCCACACAGTGATCTCCGTTGTACCTACGTAAACCGTATATGAACTGTGCCGACGATATGGAATAATCCAAACTGCAGAGTCGATTACGCAGATTTCATTTCTCTTCTTTCTCTTTCATATTCACAGTAGAGTTCAATTTATTCGAAGGAAATCTCCATAAATGCCCATTTATTAGATTCTTATCATTAAATTCAGAAGTCCCATTCGTTTTCTTATCTTTACACGAGTTTTCATTAGTCCAAAATACAAATACAATTTTATCAAATGGCCTTTTCAGAATACTGATTTCTATCGATTTTTTTGGAAACTATAATTTTTGGAGACCAACAAATCAAATCGAATAAATGGAGTTCCACTGATAATGAATTAAGTATTTGAGAATGCATTATTTACGAAGATATGAATTGTTCCCAAGAAATTCATTTACATGAAAGAAAATTATACGATTAGTTAATGCATTGTTTATCTATTCCGGCTGAATTTAAGTACATATTTTTTCTCCCTCTCTCTCTCCCTCTCTCTCTTTCTCTTACGTATTTTTGTTAAACATATTGTTTTGATAAAAATAAATGATCAGTTTTATTTGTTGGTAATAGGCCTCCCCCATACACGTAAAGACATTATCGTGTTTGATCTGTCATGGATCAAATCTGTAGATCAAATTTCACCCTAATAGCACCTAACGGATATATATGATATAATAAAATTGACATGAGACCGAATTGATTGACCGAAAATTGATCAGTTGATCTATCCAATTAATTTCTCTGTGAATTTTTTCCGCACGTTAATAGACATCAGCAGATTTGATTCATCTTAAAGCATTTTATTGTGGTAAGTTTATCACAACGGATCAAAACCGCGCTAACGTGTATGAAGGCCTAATATTAAATTTAGATAGCGGCTAGTAGTTTCTTAATGCCGCAGCAAGAAAAGAGTTGCAAATGCGATTAGTATAATTAAGAGAACGAGTTTCTCGAAACTGTTGATCGAGAAACATCGAAATCATATTCTATTTTCGCGCGGTAAATGAAGTATTACATTCTTCTTTCACCGAGTCAAATACTTTCAATTCATAGATATTACTCATTTTTTATTTCATAATTGACTTTACAAATTGATGATCTTTTACTTTCTTTTCGAAATCGTGAGAAAGAAGCAACAACTTGCACAATAAAGAATTATTAGAATTACAGATGATAATAAGTATGATTAATAGATAATGCGAGTAAAAGAGAAATGGATTTAAATGAAGAAGAAATGGAGAGCGAGGGAGATAACTTGAGTGTACCTAAGCACGTTTTAAACCTGTGTATCGTTGCATAGAAATGGCTCTTCGACGATCTGGATTACCGAATCGACATAGTAACTTAAAACACGATCTCTAGGATAGTGTACGTCTAAACGGATAAGCTACGCGTCATGATGTTTAAATATACTAACAATATAGATTTTGTATACCGCATGCGTGAGATTGTAGAGACGAGCATAACAGAGGGGACGTTGTGCATGCGAGCGCGCATTACAGAATTTACGTTCGACAGGTTAATAAATCGTATTTTCGAAATAATTTTGATTCTCATCAAATTCTTCAGAACCCCGTCCCTCTAATAGACAAGCAAAGTTTAAATTAAATAATACTTAATAACAGGTTTTTGTGATTTTCTGTTTGAGATTATTGTGTCAACTTCCTAATTCATTGCGTATTCCTAATTTTCCAGTAAGATAAAAACAAACATAAACTGCGATAATGATCCATCGAGACAATGATTTATAATGAGCTTAAGAATAAGCAACGGCTCTAAATATCGGCCATAGTCCGTCAAACTTTTTTCCTCCGTCCAGGGTTCGTATAATTTGTCGCTCGGCCGGAAAGTGGGGGCGACGCGATCATGGTGGGGACTGGTACTTGATGGGGGTATGCTAGGCATGGTCACTGGTCAGCGAAGGCGCATGAGGAGAATAGCAGTAGGGATCGAAATACGAAAAAGAGGGGAAACGAGCCGTGCGGGATAAATTATGAGAACCCTGTCTACTCTGGCATTGCAGTAATGGATTTGCGACTAGTAACTTCCAATGCGCACGCCCCAACAATCCCACGATGTGCCGGATATGCCCAACGGTGCCCAACAATGCTTCAAGCAGTATTTACTAGTATTTACATCTCCGAAGTTAAGCAAGTTACAACGAATTTTTAAATAAAGTGCATATTTTTAATTCTAGAGACTAAGCTTAAATTTGGATGACTAATACAATTTCAATTGGAGACTATTTCCTTTTTTTTTTAAATGTAAAATATAGNACACGCATTATATGATCATGAACCGACTATTATACATCATTTTGCAGACAATAATAAAAAGTTTAAATATCCACACATAGCTTCAGGCTTTGGATTAACATCAAGTCTAGTATCAAGGTATAAAATATAAATTCAGACGCTTCGATTTAAAACTGATTAAAATATTTTAAGCAACATATATGATTAATCGTGTATTCTTAGTTTAGTACGTAAAATTATTGAAGATGGGGGACCTAAAGACGATTTTTCTATTGATGCATCCTATGAATTCGCATCGTTTATTTTGAAGACAGATACTGGAGCAAGATTGATACATGTCCCTAATATATGCATCGTGTCTAGTTCTGATTGTGCTACGTATCCAAGATTTTTTCACGCATGTGTAAGTCAAAATTATTCTACGTTCACCGTTGTAATTTGTATTAATATAATTTTCTAATAATGTAATTAATTTCGAATGAAGGGTACGTCTGTCACTACTGAAAATGTATATTTTGCAGTAGAGACTTGTGCAAAATATCATGTTGAAAGAGTTTCCATAATTAAGAGAACGTGGGCAAAGTATGCAACGAACATTGGCTACTTCAGTGACGCAGCTGGTACAGTCATTTTATATATAACGATAAGAAAATATCGATTAAATGATTAAATGATATATTCTTCCAGTATAGATAAATATCTGCCTGATGCTTTTGTCGTATTAAATACAACACAGGGACATTGTGGAAAAACGCACAATATATTGGAGGAAGCAGATAAGATATTAAAAAAGAATAATTTTAATTGGTTGGTTGTGAGCGATGACGACACGATTTTTAGGTAACTATTTTTATTCTTTATTTAAACGTCAGTTCATGATATTAATAGAATATTATTTATTTACCAATTAGCGTATCGCGTTTGTTACGTGTTCTAACGTGTTACAATCCAAACATTCCGGTGGCTATTGGAGAACGATATGGTTTCCGAGTCTGGGACAGTTATTATGGATATGACTATCTAACAGGAGGAGCTGGAGTTGTACTATCTGCTCCTTTAGTTCATGAAATGGTAAAACCTGGCAGATGTGATTGCCCATCGTCTACAACCCCAGATGACATGTACTTGTTCGGTATATGCTTAGCACGAATTGGAATACAGCCTATACATTCGCCACTGTTTCATCAAGTACGTATACGTGAATATGAAATGTATCGAAAGATGTTTTCTAATTTCTGATATTATAGTTATAATTTATAATATAACATTAAGTTCTTTGAATGAACAAATTTTTGATAGGCACGTCCTTCGGATTATGCGATTGGATACCTCGCCTCTCAAGAACCAGTGTCATTCCATAAGTTCTGGATGATTGATCCAGAAATGGTGTACGACGAATGGTTCGCAGAAGAGGACGAATCGCTAAGCGTAACTGAAAGGCACACAGAGTTATAAGAACGAAGTTTAATTTTCTGTTTTATACTACCTAATGATTGTATTGAAATATATTTTGTACAAAATGTCTTTTCATTCCATTTTTATAACCCAGTGTCTGCGACCTTGTAATGTTGTAAATTCTTAGCCAGTTAATAATGAAATCGTTTAAACTGTTATAAAATCGTAAATGAACAAGATTAATCATTTTCTATGAATATATAACACATTTTTATTGTCTCAGTACATAGCTTTAACAGTAATAAAGTTATTAAAAATGCAACAGGAAAATATATTTCAATTGTGTAAGTTGTATATATATTACAATTTTGATCTTATTTCCGGCCACCACGGTGGTCGTACGAAGGTTTCTTTATCTTTATACCATCTCTCCTTGATATGCTCGTAGACCTATTTAGAAAAGAAAATTAGAATAATAAGAACAATAATAGAAATGAATAAATGAACTTACTTGACCATCAGCCATTCCTAATGCAGAATTTAATATAAAGTCTGGTGGTGCTAAGACGTCAACCAGTGCTACTGCATTTGGTACTAACTCTTTGCACAAGCCTATAATACCTTCTCGTAATAATTTATCCATATTACATTCAGGCGATGCGTAACCACCTGCATAAAAGTCTCCTAATCTCTTTTCTAAAACAGACGCGCCGTACAACGAACATACTTTCGTTAGGACATTACGTTCTTCCGACCGCCACACAGGATTTTCTATACACTCTACGAAGTACATCATTATTGCATGCTGTAAGAAAATAAAATATCAAAATTAATGATGATTTTGAATCAGTTCTAACTTAAAGTCATATAAAAGTTATAAAATAACGAGCTATTCTAAGCTAATGGCAAACATTTTCGACATTGTAGATCGATTGCCAATAGGATAATTACCTGTCCATATAAGAGTGACAGTGTTTGCGCGAAAAATACTTGCGTATTGTTTCTGATTTCGAAATCGTCGCAGCCATTGCGTTGCAAGTTCTGCACCTGTTCATATGTCCGTTTTAAGTAATAACAGACCAGCCATTTGAAGTATGAAAGTAAATCTATAAAAAATTAATAATTAAATTGAATATTGTAATTACTAATCTTTAAATAAACAAGATTATTTCCATACTTTCTGGGTTTAATATTTTCGGAATCGTTGAACAAGAGAATTTTTGCGCTAGAATCAAGTCAGCATCTCTAAGAAAATCGATCGTTTTCAAAGGACTGTTTATGGGCTTCCCGGTCACTAGATTCGACCACTGACTCAGTAACCAGTTACTAGTTTGTTGGATTAGTACATTGTTCTCACCCTCGAATGTACAACACGCGTCATTTTCAGCTCTCAAGTCACCCAAACGTGACACTAGTATAAAGAGTTAAAGATTTAGGAAGTCTCCTCGTTTATCAATTTCAATAAATTTCTATGTTATGATCAACATACTCTTAAGGTAACCGTGACCTCCGCAAGATTCTCTGCAATCCTGTATAATATCTCGACTATTCCAAGCACACAACGGCTTCGCTACCGAGGACAATGCGTGCATCTCCACGCCTTCGTCATTTAAACTATCAGTATTCTCCGGTGACATTAATTTAACTCTAAACTCGATCACACTATTTAAATATTTGCTAGAAAATATCTTCATAGCGTACGTGGCTGCCAAGTGAGGAAATAATCGGCATTGCTACGTAATAACGTAATTTCAATTACACGAGAATAAATTTCGTGGTATAATGTATTTCCATTCGATTTAATTAAATACCTGAGCTTGATATTCTATAACAGGCCATTCTTCGAATTCTGATGGTCCGAATTGCTTCCTCGCAGCAGAATATCGTATAGCAATGCATATCGCAACAGATGCCAGGTTCGAGCATATCGATGTAATTGTGGCACGACCTGAAGCCAATGCACCTAACGATGCACCTACAGAATTCGCTAAATTAATATTCTGTCCATCTCTTCCAAACATACATGGAAATTGTATTTTCACAAAAGAATGACTAATGCAAGTTAAGTGAAACGATGAAATCTTGTTCATTCCTCACCAAATCTTTTACTCTTATCCTTCACAGACGTTACATATCGCCCGTCCTCAGTAACATCCGACGTCCGATTTAACAAGCACGTTCGAGGTATAAAATAATTGTTGAACATAACAAATCCATTGTCTAATCCGTTCAGCGCAATTTTCTCACCCATGTCCCCGATGGTTACACCCGGGTAAGGCATATGAGTGTCTGGATCTCGAATGGGTACGATGAAAGAGTGAAGACCGTGATTTTCTTCATCTGGGGTGATTAACTGCGCGAATACAATAGCATGCGTGGCAGTCTTTCCTAGAAGCATATAAAAAGGTTTATCCTTCTAACGTAATATGTAAATCTACGTACCTAAACCGCCGATCCAACATTTTGCAGCTTCAAAATCTGGAGAATGCAGAACGAAATTTTTGGATTTCATATCATACGTAGCTACAGTTCTCATTCCCTTCGCGTTTGTTCCGTGAGATATTTCCGTCAATGCAAAACAACCGCTATACTGAAAATAAATACATATATGTATTATATTTATGGTAAAAAGGAATTGTGGTTTAAAAGTCAGATGAACGTATTCATTTTGTGCGATTATACGTACGAATCCATCCATCATCTTCAATGCAATATCTCGATGGATTTCTGAGCCTAAGGCAAAAAGGGTGCTCGGTACCATCCCATCCAGAATACCCATCTTTACTGGTATGGAAGCATCGTATTGAAATAATATATTGAACCAATGTGAGTGTATCATTGGGTTCTACAAAAATTCCTACATGAATTCCAAGAGTCAAGCCAGATTGTTTATTATTATCCTCGGAATCAAAATTAAAGTATTAAAAATACGAGATTACGATAATAT